GGTAGATCGATGTCCAGCTTTTTAAGTAGCCTCCAAATTTTTTTCCAGAGTGGTTGTACTAGTCTACATTCCCACCAACAGTGTAAGAGGGTTCCTTTTTCCCGCATCCTCGCCAACACCTGTTGTTGGTGGTGTTGCTGATGATGGCTATTCTAACAGGGGTGAGGTGGAATCTTAGCGTGGTTTTAATTTGCATTTCCTTTATTGCTAGAGATGGTGAGCATTTTTTCATGTGTTTTCTGGCCATTTGAATTTCTTCTTTTGAGAAAGTTCTGTTTAGTTCACGTGCCCATTTCTTTATTGGTTCATTAGTTTTGGGAGAATTTAGTTTTTTAAGTTCCCTGTATATTCTGGTTATGTATAGTTGGCAAATATTTTCTCCCACTCTGTGGGTGTTCTCTTCAGTTTAGAGACCATTTCTTTTGATGAACAGAAGCTTTTTAGTTTTATGAGGTCCCATTTATCTATGCTATCTCTTAGTTGCTGTGCTGCTGGGGTTTCATTGAGAAAGTTCTTACCTATACCTACTAACTCCAGAGTATTTCCTACTCTTTCTTGTATCAACTTAAGAGTTTAACCCAAACTTCTTATCCCTCTTGTGGCAGAGGCTAAGTATTTCCACTTCTTCCCTGGCACCCAGCTACACCGCATTTTGCTGTCTCTCTTGCAGTCAGACATGGCTGTGGGATTCTCTCCAGAATGCTGTGCACCATTTTCAGGCCTGGCACTTAATGCTTGAGGGGTTTTGCCCTCTCCTTTTTCTCCTCCAGCCTCTTTACCTCTCCTTGTTGTCTGGCACAGGAATTGACTCTCAAAAGTGACCCCACCCCCAAAAGTAGGAATTAGAATGTAAGGTTCTAATTTCATTAACCTGGGATTCTGAGTAACTTCATGGAGCAGAGCACCCCACCACATACAGGAACACTGAACAGGACTTTTACAAAAAGAAGAAACTTCTGTGCTCAGCCATTGCACATGGATCTGTTTGTTGTGCCTCCTGTTGCCTCAGTAACTCTTCCTGAATTCTCCAAGCATGTTTTTCTTCTGTTTCCATGACACCACTGTCTCCAGTCATCCTATCTTTTCTGACTAGTCTCACTCTTCAAACTGTCCAAACCTTGAACTAAGAAATTTTCCCAGGGGCTTCGTCCTCTTTCCTCTTCTCATTTTATCTGGTTTTCTGGAATGTTTTCATTCCCTCTGGTTTCACCTACCACCAATCTGTTGAGAGTCCCCCAAATCCATCTCTATTTCATATTCCAAAACTCACTAACCCCCCCAAAAACTTCTTCCTTATATATGTTCTCTTTAGTCAGTTCCCCCCACTCTTCCCATCTTAAGGTCTACTCTAAGTCCTCTTTTCCTCCAACCTTCTATCTCTATTCAACCTCTACACTTCATAAATGCCTTACATGTGACTGCCAACAACCACTAAGTCTCTCCATCTCTATTTCCACTGCCTTGGTTCAGACTCCATCATGTCTTCATCTCTACAAGTCTCCAAATATCTCACTAATGCCTGCTTCTCTGGCCTACTGACCACACCTTGGTCAGCAAGACGAGCAAAAGCACATACATACACACCCTCACTCACTCTACCTGATCATTAAAGACTTTCTCTGCTTCCTTGTTATACTAAGCAATAATTATGGCTATTTAAGGAGTACTTCCTATGTGCTGAATGCTTTCATAAAATAAATTTAGCACTTTTTTCTCTGGACAGTTATAGAGGCGAACCCTAAAAGCATCCTCATGTTACAAATGAAAGCCCACTGAGGTAATGTAACTCACTTGCTCTCCATAACAAAGTTGCTAAGTGATAGAGCTCAAATTCACATAAAGTTCATTCTGACCTTAAGAAGAGGACAAAAGTAGGAAGAAGAAAAATAGAGGACGTGAATGGATTTGGGTTACAATACATACAGACATGGAAATGTCATGAGAAACCCCCTATAAAACTATCTTAAACAAACAAAAATGTCATTTTTTTTCTTTTACATAATCAGAGAAAGGGAGGGTGAACAGGTCCTGTCTGGGGTGTTGGTACCAGTGGGAGGGAGGAGGATGAGGGGAAAGGGTGTGGGAGGGTGAATATGGTGCAAATACTGTACACATGTGTGTAAATGGAAAAATGAGACCTGTTGAAACTATTCCAGGAATGGGGGAAGGGGAGATAAAGGAGAATGATGGAGGGTGTGAATTCAACTATGATATAGTTGATATATTAAAGAACTTTTGCAAATACCAAAATGTACCCCAGCACAATAAAAAAATATGATAACAACACCATCTACATCAGAAATAAGGTCAATGGAGTTGAGGTATCAAAATCCTTAAACTGTCCATGAAGGTGAATGAAGGTGTGAAAGTACTAATTTTTATGGTTTCCTTTTTCTAGCAGAATAGAGAGATTCTTTTCTTCCTCCTTTGGTTTTTGACTTGTTAGTCAGTATCTTTAATTTTATTGAAGTAGAACTAACACACAAGTCATTACACAATTTCCATGTTTTCCAGATAGTACAAATACAAGATGACGAAGCCTTTGTCAGGCTGGGTCCTTGAGTGACTATGTGGTACAGAGCACCTTTCTCGGCCCTGTGCAGAATGGCCTGGTCAAGAATACAGTATGAGCAAAATTTGATGGTGTGGGCATGAGATTTGGGGTGATGGTATAAATCCACCCTAACCTCAACAAAGTAAAGGCACAAAAGAAAATTTGACTGGGAGTAGTGAGAGAAGTCTGTTTTGTTCACTTCCTATAATACTGCTGTCTTGTCAATTACAATGTAAAATTAAATCCATGCTTGAAAAATAAAACGATTTATATAGTTCATTCTGACAACAAGGCCTCTGGGCTTAACTACTGTGCAAACTTGCCTTTAAGTTGCACTCAACTTGTTAGTACAGCACGTGAAGCCCTTCAGAGGCCTCCAAGGAGCCAGAGCCACTGAACTTCTTCCGGTTTCTTAAATGTTTTTCCCTTCCAACAATTAAATAAATACGTACTCTCCCAGTATAGGACAGTAAGGCAGGAGCTCAGTTATTTAGCTCACCTCTTCCACTCTTTTCTGTGCCCCGTATCCTGTTTCACCTGCCTGTATTCCCCCTTCTACATCCAGCATATTTTCAAATGCCATTTGGAATATTTTCCCCTCCCCGTCAAGCCTTCCAGATTGTGCTGGGAGTTACTTTTGTGCTTTTTTTTGTTCCCTTAGCACGGCTTTAATCCCTCTGTTGTGGTCTTTAGCTCCCATGCTATAAGTCTTAGGTCTGCCTCCTACGATTCATTTACTGTGAACCTACCAGGGTCAGGGAATGTCTCATTCATGTCTTCACCTACAATCCTTGGAGATCATAAGTCCTCAAAATGTTGAATGAATACTATATGAATGGATGACAGCACTTTTCATAAATGCTTTTATTTTTATTCAGCTCCCCTGAAGTCTATTATTTTGTATAATTGAAAATGGAGTGATAGCGTTAAGTGTCCCAAACATCGCTGAAAACCATTTGAAAGCTGTGCTGATCAATACAGTAACCATTAGCCACATGCAGCTATTAAACACTTGAAATATGGCTAGAGTAAAATTCAAAGAATGTAAAATATTTTTAAAATTCAAAGAATGTAAAATATTTTATTAATTTTTTACATTATATAAGTAAAATTTTGGATCTATTAAGTCAAATGAAATATAATATTAGAATTAATTTTCCTCATTTCCTTTTGTTTTTCTAATGTGACTAGTAGAAAAAACTTTAATAACATATGTAGCTTGTATTGTATTTCAGTTGCAGCAGGTTTATAGTTTCTAATTTTTTAAGGGTAGTCAGAGTAGTTTGGGTAAGAAAACACTAGTCTAAGAATTAGGAAAATTTTCTCTCTCTCTCCTCCAAAGTCATGCACGGAAAGAAAGAAGGAAGGAAGGAAAAAAGGGAGGGAAGGAGGAGTCTCTTTTATATAACAATAATTTTATAACTGTTAGTCAAACACTGAGAAATCCCTAGCTAAATCTAGACTTAATACAGATAGCTAAAAACATTAAATAGTAGCTAGAATACTGGAACTTTCTAAGGAATGTATTATCCAATAGAACTCAAGATGAGACGAGACCTTATATTTTATTAACCTTGTAGTATCCCTGATGTGTTTTAGATACCACCTCAAATTCTCACTGAAGTCTAGAGAAGAAAGAAAGAGAAAAATTCAAAGGGAAAAAGAGGAAGAGGAAAGAAAAATAGAAACAAAAACAATTCAGTGTTAACACACTCAAATTATAAAGATCATTAAAAGCTTATTTTTTAATTGGGATAGAGGTATTCTTACCATCATGGCTCAATGGTCCTTAGAAGTCTCTGGTCTAAAGCATAGTGAATTATTGAACTCTGATAACCTCAACAAATTAGTAGAATACAAGCTCTGGGAATTTTAATATTTGCTTACTTTAATTATCAGCACTAATAAGGTCTGTATTATAATAATGTCCCACAGTTAATTTTTAAATATCTTGGTAAACAGAATTATATAATTGTCATTGTTATTTTAAATGAGATTCATTTTATAGAAATTATAATACTATCAGTGATTTGTTATGCAAATAAAATGTCATGGAAACTTGATTGCAATTTATATATTTCCTGTAAAGTTTGCTACAATTATAGCATGATATAGTACAAAAATATTGATCAGAGAGTTAAAAAATTTGTGTTTTTGTTGGTCTTGGCCTTTGTTTTCTCTGCCTTACCTCAAAATTGGGTAATAAAAATGCCCCACCCTAGAGGGTTTGTTGCAAAATGAATCATTTCAGTTTTTTATTTTAAGGAAAAAAGTAGATGATTCTTAATATAATCCAAAATCACAATGTTCATTCCTAGCCTACATTTAAAAGCCTTAAAAACTCTCTATAGTTTTCCTCCATCTTAATAATCAGAGTTGTTTAGGGTGGGTTGGGGGAACCTGAAATTGCTTTTGCAGAATCAAAACATGAAAAACAGTTTCTTACCATTTCTCATCTGTTCAACCTCACAGAAGTGTGTTCCCGTGGGAGTGTGGATAAATGCATGGACATGCTTAACTCCATTCTGAAAATGAGGGGAAAAATCGTTTCCTGTAAAATTTCAGCATTCCCACAGCACCAAGTTCTTCAATTAAAGTGGGAGCAAAAATAAGTGTCATAACCTTTTCAAACCGCTTCCAGGGAACTTCTTCCACGTAGACATGAGCTCGGGTGACGTGGTCAAAAGAAGAAATGAAATGCCCACAGATATTCATAGCAAAGCTTTCTATGCTTTTTATCTGTAAAAAGAAAAATGTTAGTAACCAGAGGTACTTGCCCCATTCAGAAGGGCTTTGTTATTGTTGCTGTTGTTATTTGTGGTTTGTTTGAGACAGGATCTCACTCTGTTGCTCATGGCTTGAAACTTGCCATCCTCCCATCTCCATCTTCCCAGTGCTGGGATTACTGGTGTGTGCCACCATAAGCAACAAAAAGTAATTTTTAAAGAGCTCTCTTTCCTGATCAATTGCTCTTCTGAATGAGAGAAGCACAGAATTAGAAGGAATCCCAGGAGACAAATTAGACCTTGTCCAAATTTTTCACTAGAGCTCCCAAATGTAGTTCAAAGATTACTATCTCCAGATGAGACCCCAAAAGGAAACTTGTTTTACAGGAAAAAATGTACTAGTGCATAAGCAAAAAGTAACGTCTACATTCACATTCTTCTCTTAGTGAACTTGGTCACCTCCTGCACCAACCACAGCACTCTCCATAACACTCTGGCCTCTGTGAGGTTTGCAAATGGGCCTGCCAGTTTCCCAAGTAAAAATGTCACTGAGGGGCCACCTCTCCTTCCTTGCCTTCCATGTGATCTTTCTATTGGTCATCCCCAGCTCTCCAGTCTCATAAACCAGCTCCCTACTTTCTCACAAATTCTCTGTATTAATCTCTAGGCATTATTTGATGGTCCAAACACAGTCTGTGAATTACTAATGGCTTTGCTATAATTAAGGTACACTATTTATACAGGTGTCTCCAGCATAGTTCTGTTTTATACTTGTTGTTTCAGAATAATTTATTAATAGCATCCTTTTCAATCTCAAAAGTGTCCTGGCAGCTAGGCACCAGTTCACAGGGAGTAAACAAGACCCCATCTCAACCAATAACTGGGCTCTTAAAATGGTGCACACCTGTCATCCTATGCTACTTGGGAGGCTGAGACAGGAGGATCACGGTTCCAGACTAGTGCAGGCAAAAAAAAGTTTGTGAGAGTTCATCTTAACAGAAAAACGTTGGGTGTGGCAGCGCACACCTATCATCTGATGGACAGTAAAGCATAAAATAGGAGGATAGTGGACCCAGCTGGCCTGGGCAAAAAGCAAGACCCTATCTCCAGAATAATCAGAGCAAAAAGGGCTGGTAGAGTGGTTCTGTCTAGCAAGTGTGAAGCCCTGAGTTCAAACCATAGTATCACCAAAAGAAAAAAAAAATGTCTTGGCCTGGATAAGAAATTATGTGGTCACTCTCTAACGAATTAATTTAAATTTTTTTCCAATATCCAGGTCTATTCCTTCAGTTTTCTACACAGGAGATACAAGAAACTGTGGTGCGTGGCCCTCTTCCATCTCGCAGTACAGGCCTATTTTCGAAAACTTTATTTTTAATTTTTTTTAAGAGAGCAATTTCTTTTTCCATAGCCCTGCCTGTTTACTGGACCAGTCTGATTAGCAAGAGAAAGGCTCAGGGTAGAAATAATCCTTGCAGAGATTACAACTTTGTTCACTTAATGTATTGTGGATGTGGGTTTCATGCAAAAAAAAATGAAAGTATAAGCTTCCCAGTCTAGATATCTTGCCTTTTTAGACATCTTGGAAAATAAGAAATTATCTTGAATTGGCCAGCAATCTACTGGTGACCCAGCACAGCTTCACTCATGCTTTAAGAGCCCAGAGCTGGATGTACTAAAATACCAGGCCCTATTAGGTCTGGGTCACTCTTGAAAGGCACAGCTAACTACCACACACAGATAGCAATTGGTAATGAACTTGAGGAAGCTGGGAGGGCATTACAATTTGGACAAATAGATTTCAATAATAAAAAGAAATGTCTTATATTCAAGATTTCCATCTGTAGTGACAACAGAAAGAGAAATGGTACTTTCTATTAAAAATGGACTCATTCTAAATGAAAAAAATAAATTGATAGGACTCAAAGAAATACATGAAAAACACATTGAATTTTACTCTGAAATCGTGTTAGGACCCTGATTTGCTTATTGCACTAATTTGAGATGACATGTTAATTTGTCCAATGAGATTCTCTGCCTAAAAATACTGAAGAAGAGAGAATCAAGAGGTGAGTTAAAAAAAGAAAGAAAGCAAAAGCAAGTTTTTCAGCAAGCTCGAGGATTTTAGGATAGAAAGAAATTCTTAAATGGTTTAAATGTAAAAATAGGCTAAACAGAAATGAGAACATATCAGTTGAAACTATTCCAGGAATGAGGGGAAGGAGAGATAAAGACGAACGATGGAGGGGGTGAATTCAAGTATGATATTTTTGATACATTATAAGAACTGTTATAGAGTGACTAAACTCCCCCAAAAATCAATGGCCCAATGAAGAAACGGGCAAATGAACTGAACATAACCTTTCCAAAGAAGTCCAAATGGCTAAAAAACACATGAAAAAATGCTTGCTATCCCTGGCCATAAAGGAAATGCAAATCAAAACCACACTAAGATTCCACTGCACTCCTGTTAGAATTGCTACCATAGAGAACACCAAAAACAACAAATGCTGGTGAGAATGCAGGGAAAAAGGAACCCTCATACACTTTCCACTATGGAAAACAATATGGAGATTCCTTAAAAATCTAGAAATAGACCTGTCATACAATCCAGCAATACCACTCTTAGGGATATACCCGAAGGAATGCGAGTCAGCTTCACAAGGCACCTGCACACCCATGTTTATTGCAGCACTGTTCACAATAGCCAAGCTATGGAAACAGCCACGATGCCCCACTACTGATGAGTGGATTAAGAAAATGTGGTATTTATACACAACAGAATTTTACTCATCCACAAAGAAGAATAAAATTTTGTCATTCACAAGATAGAACTGGAGAACATCATCTTAAGTGAAGTTAACCAGGTTCAGAAGGCCGAAAGCCACATGTTCTCTCTCACATGTGGAATAGAGACCTAGTACAAATACAGCAATATTATGAAACACTGGTCACACTAAAGAGAGATCACACACAGGAGAGATAGGGTAAAAGAAGGAACTAAGATAAATATGGTTGATATACTTTCTAGACAAGAATGCATATAGAAATCTTAAACCAGCTGAAACCACCATAAGAAACGGACTAGGGTAGAATGAAAAAAGTTAGAGGAGATAAGCCAATTGGGGTTATTTTATTTATATATGGAAATACCATAAGGAAACTCCCTGTGTATCTGCCTTTATCTCGAACAAGCTAAAATGTCATGTTTTTCTTTTTATCTTTTCTCTTTTTTCTTCTACAAAATTAAAGAACAGGAGGGCACAACAGCTCCTGCCAGGGGAGAAGGCTAGCACCAGTGGAAGGGGGGAGAGGACAGAGAAAGGAAGTAGGAGGGTGAAAAAATGTGTTCAAATGTATGTAACTGCAAAAATGTTACATGTTGTAACTATTCCAGGAACTGGAGGGGGTGGGAATAAAGGAAAATGGTGGAGTGGGTGAATTCAGTACGATGCATTGTAAGAACCTGTGTAAATGCCACAATGTACCCCCACCCAGCACAACAAGAAGTAAGTACTACCCCTGATCTCCCACACTATCTTATAGTAAATCTGCGACAGGACAGACAGCATCTATGAGGAATGATGCATACCCCTTTGAACTTTGCCAAGACCTGAACTGTGTTCTTGATGGTGTCTGTAGGGATGATGTCTGAATTATCGCCATGCAGATAATCTCTTTTGGAGCTCAGAGTCAGTTGTACTGAAGTTGCCACCTCTTTAATGCTATGATATTTTCCATCTCGTTGAATATGGAGAACTTTTACCATATCCTTCCCATAGCCAGTTCGAACAAACTCCACTTCATCATTCTGCAATGAGAGCATAATCATCTTACTGAAGAATACTGAATAAAGGCAAAATGCCAACTGAAATTTCTTTAGGCTTAAAGATCCAGAGATTTTTGAAAGTAATATTACGTCCTACCTTTGAAGAAGAATAGGAACTTGCAGGTTGGGCACAGTGGCTCAGATCTGCAATCCCAGCTACACAGGAAGTGAAGATGGGAAGATTGCAGTTTAAGGCCAGGCCAGGCAAAAGTTAGGAAGAACTGAACTCAAAAAAACAAACGAGGCTTGGTGATGCACACCTATAATCTCAACTAGGTGAGGCGGGGAGGTAGAAGGCTTGTGGGCTGAGACTGACCCAGGCAAAAGTGCTATCCCCTATCTGAAAAACAAACTAAAGCAAAAAAGGTTAGCAACAGGGCTCAAGTAGTACAGCTGCTTGCTGATGACAAAAAAAAAGTGATAATAAAACCTCTAGATCAAAATCATTTAACTTGCTCTGTTTTATTTAATTTCTTTTAATCTAGTCCTTGTAACCACTCTGGGACTAATATTTTCATTTTACAAAGGGAGAAACTGAGGCACAAAGAGGGTAAGTGGCTTCTCTTAGTTCCCATAGCTCACAAAGGGTAGAGTTAAAATACGTACTCAGGTCTGCTGATTTCAAATTTTACAGTGGCCACTATGTAAACCACCTCTCTTCTATAAAATTTCTTGACTATATTATCTGGAAGTAATTCTCTGCCCTTTTTTTTTTTCTAGAAATACTTTAGAAGAAATGCCCTGTGATCAATAGTAACAATTGGAAAATTGTCTTTTCTGCTTGCTGCTGAAAGGAGAAGAGTAATTGGGTACAGGGTCCAGATTACCTTTGGAAGTCAGAGTCAGGGCCATCTGGCTGCAGGGAGAGCTACACTTTCAGTGGGAAACATTTCATTTAATAGAAGCCTGGTGACTGATTCATTAGGACCCTTGTCTGAAGCTGGAGCCTTAGCTAGAGAGCATGTTCATCTCCACAGGCAGAATCCACTAGATTTGTCACACGGCTGTATTGGTGTTAGAGAGGAGAGGGAGGAAAACATATTCCATGGCATGGAAATTGGACATTAAAATGATAATGACAGAAGGTGACAAAAATAATAAATCAAGAACAGGATACAGTGAAGGTGTATGAAAGTGTTGAGGTAGCAGAAGTGACACTGCTAAGGGCACCAGCTTGAGGAGGCAAGCAATGCAGGCAGTAGCTAGAGGAAGGTTCAGCATGTCTTGAACTGCAAGAGACTCATCCTGGACACCATGAGGTACTTGGCTGCTTGTGGTTCCTGAATGGCAGGGACCGGGGTCTAGGGCCAAAAGTCTCTGGGGTTATTTATCACTTCCATCATGCAACAGAACCCAACACTCAACACAGGTTCTCGGTCCTGTCCCCTGCCGCTAAATATCTGTGCTGCAATAGTTTTAACTTGTGAGAGCAAGTGGTATCTACCATTTGCATAGAGAGATTACATGACAGCCACTTTCAAATCCTCACCCCTGCTCACCTCCCCAGCGTCATGTCTGGTCACTCCCTGCTTTAAACTCTGCTTCAGCTCTCTTGAGCTAATTATGGCTGCTGAGGCTCAGCATGTAGGCTTTTGAATTTGCTTTTCCTTCTTTCTCAAACAGTTTCTTCTCCCTGCTACCCAACCCCCAACACTCTCCTAGTCATTCTCCAGTCCTTCCTTCAGGTACTCTGCCCAACAATTTAAGGAGAGTAGGCGCCCCTTTTATGTGCTCTCAAAGTACTTTGGTCTTGCTGTAGAAGCTTTATCAAATTGTACTGCACTTGCCCCTTCGTGTGTGTGATTCATTTTGAAGCAGTAAACTATGAATGCAAGAACAAGCTCTGTCTTGGTCACTATGGCAACCATAACACTCAGCACAGTGCCTGGAACATAAATAGGTGCTTGATATGTGTGTCATGAATGCATGGATGGTGCTACTAAGCACCTCCACTGCTTGTGTGATGACACAGAACAGTTAATGAAAACACACAAAAGATTGCAACACAGGAAGAACCAATCTAGCTCAGACCCCAATGAGGAAGTTTTGCTTCCTGGGAAAGTAAGGATAGGAACATACAGCTTCTGATCACCATAACATACAGCTTCTCCAGCACAGCCTGGAGATCACAGACACAGATAGCCAGAGAACAAAGGAAGGGCAGAATTGAATGTAAAGTCAGCCATGCAAAGTGCTCACAACGCTAAAAAGATAGCACTCCAGCTCAGTGTGGCCACCTCAAACCAAAGAACAATGAAAATGAAAAAAGTAGAGGGCTACAAGCTCCTGGTTAAGTCAAACAAAACTAGACACCCGACCTGGCATGGTGGTACAGGCCTGTAATTCTAGCACTTGGGAGACTGACATGTTAGGAAGGCAAGTTCAAAGTCACCCTGGGCTACATGGAGTCTCAAAAAAACCTATCTAGACATCTGAGTAAAGTTTGAATAATCAAGTTTATTGGGAAATGAGTCAGAATTAAAAGTACCTAACCATCTGAGCCTGAAGCAAGATGGAGCAAGTCTGCATGGGACACCTGAAAGAGTCTCTTGGCAGGACTCTAGGCAGATAATAGCCTGGACAAGAACTGATACTATTCTCCCCCAGTCCTGTAGTCAGAGAAATCAGTCACAGAATGCCACTGTGTATAACACAGGTTTTTGTGCAGAGATCTATGTCCAAGACACCTTTAGGGAAAAGTATAAAGTTTGCTCTCATCTGGAGTGGAGGCAAGTGACTAAGTAAATGACATTTGGGCTCTGGAATCAGGCAGTCCAGGGAGAATTCTTGCCCTGTCACCCATTAGCTGTGAATAGAGGCAAATTCTCCATCTATACAGTAGGAGTGATATAGGTTTCCATCTTTCAGGATTAATGTGAGGGGTACATGGTAAAAGTGCCTGGCAAATAGTAAATGCTCAAAAAATGCTACATAATTATAATTGATAAGTAATATTATATATTACATTTTGCATTGAAGGATCCTTTCAGTTACTGTTAGAAATAAATATATAAAGTATTCTCCAAATCAGAACTGGGGTGGGTAAAATCAAGGAGCTGCTGCTCTGATAGGCCCTACTTCTGCCTGTCTACCCTCAGGTACATGATCTTATTTAAAGTTTCATGATCCACTGATATCCAAGCCTTTGAGTGCCTCTCCTCAGGCTTGCATCATTTAAGGAAACAAAGTTAGGAAAGGAGACTCAATTTCTTACAATAATACTCAGAGCAAAATACAGTAGGAATAAATCTCCACCTTGCTCTGCACAGGAACAAGCCCTTTCCTATATATGTTTTGAAATATAAAGGGCCATCAACTTGTTACTTGTTTGTATGTAACGTTGGAAAGAATTCAAAATTTTTAAATGACTTAGAATTTTTCACTTCTGCAATGAGGTCACAAGTGTTCTCATATTTCTAGGCCATTTTGAAGGTGGTTAGGTTATCATGGCAGGGGTTTTTAGCCTGGAGTCTACTAACTACTCCTAATGGATGGATTTTGGGTAGAATTATGTACTCTATGAAGTTGTAATTTAAGCCTTGTGTATTTGGGCGGGGGTGGATTTTTCTGGGGAATGCACACATAGTCTTCATTAGATTCCAAAGGGGTTCATGACTCATAAAGGTTTAAGAAACATTGCTGCAGATAATTGGGGTCCAAATTGTTAGGATCATTTTGCTTGTTCTGACCACCAGCCATAAGATAGCACAAGGGAGATGACTTAGTCATGCACAGCCTCCCAGGTTCAGTGAGGCAGTATCACGGAAGTTAAGAGCACATGGGCCCTTCAATCCAACTTCTGGCACCACCTGCTAGCTGCATGGCTCTGTGCAAGTTTCTTAATCTTTTTATTTCTTCTTTTTTTTTTGATTTATTAAACAGGATAATGGTTGCAGCTATTTCCTCTAATTGTTGCAAGGTTGAAAGTAAGTGCTTCAAATGGTGAGTAGTACATAGTGTCAGTGAATGTCAGCTGTCATCATTATCTTGCCTGTCAACTTGACCAGAAGTAGTGGTTGGAACATTTTGATATCAATTCCATCACTAAATATGCAGAGACAGTCTTGCTTCTCTTTTTGATAAAGAAGACTTACAATTCCATGTTGTATAGGCACACACACTGCCTTGTGCTGTTGGTATTCTGCTGATAAAACAAATTCTTGTCGATACAAATCATATTTTGAATGAATCCTAGCTGTTTATACACACTAAGGACAAATCTTCACATAAAGCTAAAACTCTTCTCCACCCAGGCACTATGCTTTCTTGCTCTGTGCCTTTACTTACATATACCAGACACCCATCAAATTTCCCCACTTCCTCTATGAAGACTGAGGGAGACAGAAATACATTTCTCTAGCTACACAGCCAAGACTTGACTTCAGGCCTGTCTGTTCTGTTAACTGTGCCTTTGCCTGGAATGCCCTTTCCTCTCTCCATAGGTTGTAGACCCCCTCTGTGAATCATGGCTCTTGCCTTCAAACTCACAGTGCACTGCAGTGAACAGGCTCTTGCTGTTGAAGTCACTTTCTTCCTTTCTTATTCTCATTTGTGTGCATGTCTTAGTATTCCCCAAATCAGTGTTCTGATAACAAGAACAAGTCATCTTTCTATTCCTCACATTGCTTAACAGTGCCTTATAAGTTGCCATAAATTATTTGTCCAAGAATGTCTCCCTCATATTGCAGATCATTTCAGAACAGTTAGATCATTTTTATTTTGATAGGAAAAACATTGTTTTAAGCCCAATGCAACCCTACAATTCAGATTCACATCATATTTTTAAGTTACAGGATAAAGAGGGTAGAGCAAGAGTCCCCTACATCCATCTATGTTTTCCTTATAAGAACTTTTATAGGGAAAAGAAACAAGGCTTGTTTGTGTCACTTGTGAGCTCATATTAGTCTCAAAAAAAAAAAAAAAACCTTTGTGAGCCCACACATGAGCCCCTCTGCATTATTATTGTTTTTTAATATAATTATTTTCATTTTATTAACTTTTTG